GGTAATAATGACAAAGAAGAACATAAGATAATCAAAAAACAAAAATGCGACAGAATTAATAGATATAATAAGGCTTTATACCAGAGGATATTCAGATTTATAATAATGGTGAGATTGGAAAATGGCTTAAACATGATCTGAAGTTGGGTCGTCTGCACAAAAGCACCATCATGCAACGTGTTGGCACATGTGAACCATCCACCAAGAGTTGTCCCTGTCTGAACTTCACTTAAAAAGATGGAGGACTAGAATTTCTAGCTACAGCCCTGGCTGTGGTGCAGCTGTAGCGTGCATGTGTACTTGAGGCATAATGGGAGTAGTGCTCCCGTGGGGACACAGGTTTGAGTTCAGCCTGTGTCATTTTCCATACTAGATCTCTAGTGTGCTAGAATACAGTATGAGTCAGAAACATGCTAACTATAATCTGGTTCTAAGGTTACTTGTTTCATGGAAGATAAGTTCATTAATGTTCTATTTACAGCAGGTTTGTTTTCGGCCGAAGAATCGGCCTACACAAGAATAAGTATTTCATTACATGCTCTTGGAACTGTGCATGCATCACTTCTCCTCCTCCAATGGCCTGCCTTTGCACTAGATGAGGCTAATGGTGTTAGCAGCAGGCAGGCCTCTTTATGTACCTCTGCCCTGCCCACAGAGGAATCTTGATGCGTTTGATATTCTCCTAACAGCTGCCAGAGACAGAACAGGGAATGCTGGGATTGCTATGTACAGCTGAAATGTCAGGAGGCCTCCTGTACAGCGGGTGTTATTTATAAGGCTTAAAGGAAAGGGGAGAAGATCTGCTGGGCGTTAGACCTTAGTTACGCAAAGAGATCAGCTCCATTACCACAGCTTTTTTTTTTCTTCTTCTTGAAAAGTTCATTGGTTTATTTGTGCAGATAAAATGTAAACATGGCACTGATTAACGCAGCTGTCTGTCAATATAACCCACATACCACGATGTGTGAATTTCTGGAAAGATAGCCATTGGATAATTTATAAACACAGACACTAGGTGTCACTATAACTTTTTAGTTCTCTGTTTTCTAGTTCACACAGGTATAATGGGCGATAGACTAGCAGTTAAAGGGTTAGTTCTAGTGCTGGGCGGTATACCGGTTCATACCGAATACCGGTGTTTATTTTTGTTATGATATGAATTTTTAAAATCATATGCACTTTTTTGTTTGTTGTTTTTTTTAGTTTGTTACTCAGACGCAGGCAGTGCGCTGCATGAGACAAAAAAGTAATATAGCCAAAACAACTGCATTAATCTTTAGTGTAGATGCATGTTGATTTTATCAGACGATGCCGCTATTATAAATGAGAGTGACTCCTGGTTAACATGTATTAAAAGGGGTCGTGTTTAGTCACTATTTAGTGTGGCTCATCATGACAGTAAAATAGGGCATTCTAAGTCAATATACTGCAGTATTTCCTCTCTCAATCAGTAGAAAATATGGTTAACACGCATGAAATGCTTGCCACATGGATTATTTTACAGATCTCCTTGCTACGTTTCTGGACTTGGGAACATTTCAGTTGCGTTGCTGTCTATGCAGGGTCAGACAGCTCTCAGATTCCATCAAAAATATCTTAATTTGTGTTCCGAAGATGAACGAAGGTCTTATGGGTTTGAAACAACATGAGGGTGAGTAATTAATGACAGAATTTTCATTTTTGGGTGAACTAACCCTTTAAGGACTGTTTACACAAACATGGGCTTGATCCCAGAGAAGGGCAGTATGGCAAACGAGGAGTGTGAAGCTGCTTCTCGTGCTTATTGCCCTTGAAGCAGATATTTATTTATTTTAATTGATGTGAAATTATTTTTCCTTTGATCAAAAGGGTGTTCTCGTAACAAAGGATCAGCATCTAGGACAGTCTTCCAGTATCACCTCTGCTTCTAAAGCCATGATGTAGTCCTGTTTTTGTTAAATCTGCTGCTTTTGAGTTACATGTTTGAGTTAATGGACCTGTTGCTATGACAACAGCTCTTTTGATAAGATTCAAAGAACAGATCAGTCCAGGATTAGGTCAAATGGTCAACAGTTAACTACAGATAATCGACGTAGTAATCCATGCATGATGAATCGAGGGGACTGGCTCTCAATCAGAGGGTCGGGGCCCACTAGAGAGCCTCAGCAAACTTCCAAGGAAGCTTACAGTTGAAGATGAAAATAAGACAAAATAAGATATTTCTCATTTTTATTCACTTCCTAATTTTTTATTGTATTTTATTGTATTTTTTTTTTTTTTTTGAACAACCAGAGTTCCCACTGTCTTTTTAAAAAAAGATTAGGCTGATTTTAAAAGTTTGATTTCTAGGCCTGAAAAGTCATATAAAATTAACAAAATTGTACATCTCCATGGGCATTTTGTATAATACATATATATTTTTGCTAGTTATGCAAAGGTAGAAATTCTGAGTCAAGTAAATCCTTATCATTAATCCCTATCCAGTAAATCACAAACAACTTAAAAAAAAATCATGGGGCCTTCGAATATTGCTATGAACAGTGGAGGGCCTTGGAGTCACAAAGGTTGAGAACAATTGGTATATAGGGACAATTATTGTGCTGATGCCATTGTCATTTGGATATACAGCTCCTGCTAATTTACAAATAAAGAACAAATGGATAACTGATTTAGAGTGATTTTTTCAAAGTGTAGAGCAGTACGCCATTTTTTAAATATTTATCTATGATGAGTTTCCTGAGGTCAGTAGATCAAGATGATGTGCACTTTTTACTTGTTGAGTTGTTGATGCAGTGACATGACTCATCAGTGCTATTATTCCTGTAGTGCACCAGTTGGGCATCGCCTGACTCGAGTATGAAGTTCATTTGTCGGTTAGTTGGAAACTTTCTAGAGCAGAGAGGAAGCTCTGTGCACTCCAGACATTAATGTTATTATGCTGTGGGTGCAGTGCCCTGGAACATTTTTGACTTGTCCTATTACTCCACTCCCCAATGCACCCCATGAACCCTCGGGAGCCGAAAAATGCAGAGGCCTGGCCCTCTAAGCTATCTTCCCTCTCTCACTTCCCTCTCTCTCCTTCCTCTGCATGTAAACAGTCTTGATCGAGCAATTTGCACTTCATCTGTGCACTGGCTAACTTTAGCCTTTCTGTTTGGGGGTGGGAGGGGGCTTCCATTCCCATAATACAATTTGCTCTCCCATACGGACATTTGACACAGCTGAATCCCCCTCCTATCGGTATTGGTGTGTTCAACCCCCTGCTCATCAGGACAGAGAGAGAGAGAGAGGGGACTGGACCGGGAGGCAGACCCCAGAGCGGCTCATGTTTCGCAGGGCTGGGAACCTGTTGGCTATGGACTTGAATTGAGATTTTGTGTTTTGTAGTTCCGAAAAGCAATCAGGAGGCTGGCGGCCTGGCCTCTTTGGTACAATGCTCCTGGATTCCAGCTGTCACAGTAGCAGGCACGATTCTAGGAATTGCTCGGTGCGCCAAGACAAATCCACCTTGCATCCCTGGACAAAGCCTGGCAAATGAGAGTTTTGAAGTGAGCGGACCACTGGGAAAAAGAGTGTACGAGGGACATCGGCCAGAACGGAGTTGTCTGCGAGCTCTTAAACAGAAGCTGATCCTCCTTGACGGAAGCCCCTTAGGACGTAGCTTGTCCATTTTCTTTTTTTTTTTCTCGTTTCTTACTTTTTGATTCCTTTGATATTGCCAATATGATGATCAAGGAGGCCTCGTTAAGGGAGGATCCCGACTTGCGGGGCGAACTGGCCTTTTTGGCCCGAGGTTGTGACTTTGTTCTTCCGTCACGGTTCAAGAAAAGGCTTAAGTCTTTCCAGCAAGCCCAGGTCAGTAGCCAACCTCTGTAGTTCAGCAAAGAATGCCGTGTCTAACTCTCACATGCCAGACAAGACAAACTATTCACAGGCAGATACCAAAGTGTTTATTAATAGGACAGTGGAAGGGGGTGAGGCAGGGCAGGAATACAATGTCCAAGTGTTGCGTACAGGAGCTTCGAAGAGGGGGGGAGGAAGTGGACGGGACGGAATGGGCCGGGCTCAAGCCACAGCTGCTCTCTTCAATACGTCCATGCAGGCCTGCTCCGCTTGCAGTGGAGTTCTCTAAAATTCAGTCACATTTCAACAGCTCTCTTTCTGTTTGATTGACAGTAAGACTGTGTTGTTCAGAAATAAGCTGCCTTAGGTGTGCACTGTGACTCTAGGGTTTTGCCCAGAGACCAGAATAAGAACAGTATGTCAAGACTATGTATAGAATGTGTTAGACATTTCCACAGCTTGTTATTAGAAGTTTAACCTTGGTGATGGAAGGTCCCATCTGAAAAGAATGAAGTAAATGGACATCAGCTGTCAGTGTCGGGCCTGTGAATTAGACTGTATGCATGCATTGCATACAGTGTTTTGGATCACCATGCAACATGTCCCAATCATTGATCCAGTCCATGAAGAGCTGTAGAGTGCAAAACACTCTACTTCTCCATTAGATCAACGAGAAATAAATATAGGTAGAAATAAAAGTAAACAAATCGCCTGAAATTAAGAGTTTGGCTTGTTTTGGTGAGGGCAGCAAGGTTAGATGGAAAATGTCTGTCTTATTTTTGCTGAGGAGTTCTTGTCATCACATTGGCAGGAAAGTTGACGAGGCCGTCTATGGTTTTACTGATAATCCACCTCACTTCATCACTGTGAATATGTTATCAGAATGAGAGCCAGCCTCCTCGCACAGCAAGTACCGAGAGAAAATTTCACACAAAGATGATTAAGCAGCTATCTTTAGCGTTATGGAAAACTTTAAAGACAATATTTACTTTAATTTGGTACTGCATATTGCTACATATACTTCAAATAATCTGAAGAGCTTGGAGATGATGCTAAACACATATGAGAAGATGTGCACTAAATATATATATTAAAAAATATGTGCTGCTTTGATGTTTTCTCAGTATTCTTAATACTGGTTGACCTTTCTCTAATTTTCTCTCTCTGTTTCTCAATAGATCCAGCCTGAGAAGAAACCTGGAACACCTCCTCCAGCTCTAGCACCTGCACCCTCTTCGCCAACCCCACGGACGCCCAGCCCTCCGCCAGCCAAAGTGGTGGCCACGCCCCCACCCTCCTCCATAAACATTCCACGCTTCTACTTCCCCAAAGGCCTTCCAAACTGTGCAGCCAACTATGATGAGGCCATTGCCAAAATCGAGGCAGCCTTCACAGAGTTCGAGGAGGAGAAAGCTGACATTTATGAAATGGGCAAGATAGCAAAGGTGCATATGAATTGTGAATTGTTTTGCTTGAAATGAGATTCATAATCTGTGAACCGTTCTTAGTAGTCTTGGATTGACAGTTCTGAACATATAAACTGACACTTGTTTTACGTAGATGTGCTTGCCAAATTGTATTGCCATAGCACCATGATGGATGCCATCTCATAGAAACATCCTATTTAATCTTCTCACTGTTTGAATATTATATAAACAGGATCATAAAATGAAGAAATATCAACAGAATAACCCATCTTGACGTTTACATTCTAAGAATCAGATATTTGGACCCTTAAAAAGGATCTTATCATTTAGAATGATTTATTTTGTTTCTTTAAAAAGTAAAGTAAAAAAGTAAAGCTGTTTTTACAGAATTTAAGTAATATTGTGATGTAATAAAAAAAGTGTTATACACTGCTTATATTTATTTTGTGACTAAACATGATAGTGAATAGGGCTTCTTATGTCAGTGCCATTTTAAAATACAACAAAAACAGCATATTCATGCATTTCTTTTCGCAGGCATGTGGGTGTCCCCTCTATTGGAAAGCACCCATGTTTATTTGTGCTGGTGGAGAGAGGACAGGTTTTGTTTCTGTTCACTCATTCATTGCAACATGGAGAAAGTAAGTGTCAGCACACATATTACTTCCCATGAAAATAGGTGCTTTTGTATTTGTCATTTTGTATGGCATCTGATTGAGTTTTTGCCCTTATTCATCTTCACAGGTTATTACACGGCTGCTATGATGATGCATCCAAGTTTGTTTACTTGCTAGCCAAACCAGGCTGCAATTACCTGGAACAAGAAGATTTCATCCCTCTGTTACAGGTTAGAACATTGTAATTTAACTGTGAAAAGTAAAACTTTCAGTACTACCTGTATTTCTGCATCACTGATTACTAAAAGTAGATATAAAATCATGGTAATGAATAAATGAATTCTTCTTGCAACTTCTTGGCAACATCTTGCAACATCTTGGCCTCAACTACAAACTTATAAACAGCACGAATTGTGGTGTTGTGTGGGACTGAATGCTCAAAGCCTAGTGTGACCACCGCTTGGCACACAGATATTGCACAATTTACCTTTAACAAACAACACACACAACAATTTGCAATGTGAAAATTACAAATGGCTTAAACAAACATATATATGTATATGTTATATTATATATTTTCAAACTGATTGTCCTATGTTGGATCCCATGGATGTTGGAGTCTGTATATACATAGTCTATAACAATGTTAAATTAAATAAATTCTTTACGTAGGCAATCAGAAGGAGCTTTGTAGATTTAAACTGTTAGGTCAGGAGTCATCTCACTCTTGTTTTTTTGTTTTGTTTTGTTTTTTTAGGACATCGTGGACACTCATTCAGGGCTGACTTTTTTAAAAGATGCTCCTGAATTCCATTCCCGGTACATCACAACAGTAAGTAACTTTATTAATGGCTCAATGACACAGGCAGGAGCTATTTCATGGGGATAATATTGCAGGAATGGTGGTTTTGTTGTCATTGGAACATGCTGCAAAATTCTTTGATTGTTTTTAAACATCGTTCCACAACTATTTTAGTGTCAGCTACTGTCAACAGGAACATGACTTTGCTTTGTCCTGGATTAATCATCAGCCTGACAACTGGAATCTCTATTTGTAGCATTGCTTCAATATTTCAATATTGAATTTGAAAGCTTGTTAGCTTACTAAAGTGTTTATGGTAAATCAGATCCAGCTATCTGAACAGTGAGACGTGGAGCCCAGTGCGTCTGTCTGTCTGTCTGTCTGTTTGTGGGACAGCTGCAACACGTGCTGCAGAGGGGGTGGGAAGGGTAATGGCGTCAAAGTGGCCTGACATCACGGAAACACGGATGCCACCAACAGGCCACTGACCCTGGTCTTGCACAACCCCATATTTAGACACTTCCTTGCTCTGGTGCACTGGTTGACACACCCTGGGACCAATCTCTCCTAGGAAGACTGATCTACCAGGAAATGCATGTTAATCCACACTGATGTCACTGTTTCTGTTGGAGTCTGAAGCATGCGGCCTTTGTCACCACAGGACTAGATATAACTCAGTATGCCTAAGTACAACCAGTCACTAGACGACTGTATCTATAGGCAAATGGAACTTATGGATGGAATAATCAGCCCTTAAAGGAATAGTTTAATAAAGAAATGGAAAATTTTGTCATCATTTACTCACCCTCATGTCATTTCAAACCTGCGTGGTTTGAGATTTCAGAGCTGTGATGGATGGAAAAAGTATTCAATAAGTAATGTCTTAAATTTAGTTCTGTTCCTCACACAAAGCTATCATATGTGACCCTGGACCACAAAACCAGTCTTAAGTCACTGAGGTATATTTGTAGCAATAGCCAAAAATACATTGTATGGGTCAAAATGATTGATTTTTCTTTTATGCCAAAAATCATTAGGATATTTAGTAAAGATCATGTTCCATGAAGATATTTTGTAAATTTCCTACTATAAATATATTAAAACTTAATTTTTGATTAGTAATATGCATTGCTAAGAACTTAATTTGGACAACTTTAAAGGCGATTTTATAAATATTTAGATTTTTTTTGCACCCTCGGATTTCAGATTTTCAAATAGTTGTATCTCGGCCAAATATTGTCCTATCCTAACAAACCAATACATGTGACTTATGACACAAGTTTCTTTCTTCTAGGGGAAAGTCAGTGCAGAGAGAAGGAAGAATGAGCTATGCTGAGTTTGTTTGGTTCCTCATTTCAGAGGAGGACAAAAAGAATCCCACAAGGTAATGAAACAGATGAATCAAACATGATAGAGACACTACAGTTACTGCTAATTGAAATAAATCTGAAAATATAAATATTAGATGAAACTTGAACATAAAAATAGAAATGTTACCTTAGCAACGAACTGAAGTAAGTACTAAAATTTCTAAAACTGAAATAAAGTTATATAGTTATATATATAATTAAAAGGACAACTGAAAACAACACAGTTGAGAACATCTATCATTTATATTTATTAAAAAAAACATGCAGTGTCCTCTGAAACACAGATAAGGCTAATTTTATCCAAAGTTGGCACTTTGAAGTGTAAAAATACCCAAAATACTTTCGGGGGCCATTTTAATCATGTTTTTAGTTATATCTTCACTTCTTTACTATATAATGTTATCTCTCTCTCTGTTCAGTGTAGAGTACTGGTTCCGCTGTATGGATATGGATGGTGATGGTGTTCTGTCCATGTTTGAATTGGAGTTTTTCTATGAGGAGCAGTGTGAACGCATGGAGGGGATGGGCATTGAACCACTGCCTTTCCAAGATCTCCTGTGCCAGATGCTGGACTTAGTTAAACCAGAATGCCCAGGTAAAGAACCCATTCTGATCCTCTCACTCATATCACCCATATGATCAATCGAAACAGGAAGAACATGAAGCTACCTCTAAAGTAAAAATAACACACACATAGTCGTAGTGGAAGGTATACATGCTCTAATCCCATGTTCTGTTCTGATCCAAGACCCTTCACTTTCTCCCTCAATGTCCTGTCATTCTAGAATTTCATATCAGCTAAAAGGCGTGAATTGAATAAAAGTAGCATTGAATGAAAGTTTCTGCCAAACGTAAAAATGTCAGTGTAAGATTCTGATAAATTGTATATTTATCAGTATAGTGTGCCTGTCCAGTGAATACATGTATGTGTAATGTAAACAAATGACATCTCTTGGCAGGTAAAATTACTCTTCGAGATCTGAAGCGCTGCAGGATGGCACATATATTCTACGACACATTCTTCAATCTGGAGAAGTACCTGGACCATGAGCAGAGAGATCCCTTTGCAGTGCAGAAGGTCAGTTTGATGGGTTACATCTGTGTTCAAATCCCGTGTGCTGAATATTATCTCCGTTAGAACATTAGTTAGTGTGTTCTATAACTGTACGTGTGTGTGTATCAGGATTTGGATAGTGATGGTCCAGAGCCCTCAGACTGGGACAAGTATGCTGCCGAAGAGTATGAGATTCTTGTGGCAGAGGAGACGGCCAATGAACAGCTACGAGAGGGGTGAGTCAATGCGCTCTGTAATGGAATGAATTCGCTACAGAGTTCATTGCATTGCATATAGATGAGATACCATCTATATATGGTTGAACTTCAGAGGAGTATAAAGCGTAACTGTTGCATGCTTGCTTTTGCAGATCTTTCGACGACGCTTACGAGTCCGATGAGCTCACAGTCTCCACAGACATTGGAAATAAAATGGATAAGCTGGTCATATCTGATTTATCGGGATAAGTTGCCATTTTTGTATACACACCATGACGTTGTATGGATAACCACCTCGCCATATTTTCCCTCACGTGTCAAAAAGGGAAAACGTTTTTCTACATTTCACGGCATTTGCGTGTGTGTGCATGTGTGCAATAGAACTAATTCTAAACCCAAAAGGCTTCAGACACCCACAAAAAGGCTTTATGTGCAATATGTCTTAACATGTAAATGTAAACTCAATTGTTTTTCACTCTCTTACCGATAGTCACATCCACTCCCCTCAAACTAAACTGCCGGCTGGTTCCATCCACCCTTCACAAAGACTTTGATGTGAAACAAAAGGACTTTTTAGTAACTTTAGAAAGAGTTTAGAATGTGCTTTAATGTGAGTGAAACTATATGTAATGCTGCCATATATTTTTAAAGGGTGGGGAGGGGGAAAAAGAGAGACTTTATACTTGTGTGGTACATAACTCACAGAAACTAGTCCTCTCGCACTAAATTAGACATTTAAGACATGAGATCAGCACATATCCTGTGCTATGCTATGTTGCACATTATGTTTAAGGGACATGACAATGGTACACCCGTGTTGCTCACTGATGGTATTGCATGTTGTTGCTTAAAAAAAAAAAAGACAGAAAGTTGTGACTTTTACAGTGTTTGAACTTCACTACAGACATCGAACCTCCATTTACATATTTCCAGATGAACTGACCAGGACAATCTTAGACTTGAAAGTGCTTTTTTGGAAATGTCCTTTCTCGGCTATTATAATATGTTTGAGAGCTGTAAAGCACTATTTATTAGGTGTAACTCACTGTTTAAGATTATACAGAAGATCACAGTCCTTCTGACCCACTCAATCAAGTCAATCAAGCCAAAATTCAATCCACACAGAATTCAGTGCTCATGTACCATCTTCTACTGTTAACTCATGTTTTCACATTTAAAGTGAAACATGCAATGTACAATGAATTGCAATTGCAAAAATAACCACCTCAAACTGTTCTGCCATTGGTTAGTCAAACAGCTAGTCCCTCCCCAAACACACACCATTGGGTTCAAAGCACCACAGAGCAAAAGTGTTTACAGGGAAATCAACTTATGCTTGCTTATAGTTCTTTGCCCTTAAACTGGGATTGGAGAAAGTATTTAACTATCCAAAACGACACAATTCAGCTTTAATGAGTGACTGTCTCTTAGTGCTGGCCAGCCTGATCAGTGTTTTACAAATGTCTCTCTGTGTGCTTGATGGCCAAACCTCCCTCCACTCTGTCACACTCTTTGGTTTATGTAATTAGTGTAATATATTTATATATGTGAAGTGGTTTTGTTTGTTTTTGCTTGGCTAGCCATTTTCATGGTTTACCAGTAGCTTTTTCTTGTACTGTAGTCTAGCTGTTTTATGACATAGGACATTTATTTTATATAACCACTGTAAATGTCTTTGTATTTTATTTTTCCCATGTGATTGACTCTACCACTGAGTGGTAGGGAATGTTTAAATTATGATATATCTCTAACTGCCAGTGTTATATAATGTGCGTTAAGCTGAGTGGGCAGGGGCTTTATGAAGGAATTCAATATGAATTCACTGACAGGTGACAATCAACTGGACTTGTTTCTGCAGTTAATGACATGCAAGTAGCACTTCTTAGGAAAAAAAAAACAGAGCAATACAACTGCTGTAGTGTGTTACACTTTTATCAGGACTATTAGACATTGAGATAAAAACACAAAGCTAAAACTAAACTAAACTAATGCTACAATCCTGGTTCATTTTTATCACTAGCACATTGAGCGCTATGCAAATCTGATCTTCTGGACAGCTATTGGCAGCTACAGAAGCTGTAAACAACAAAACATGTTAGTGTGCGATGTTTCTTTTTATCTTTTTTTTTTTTCTTTGAGTTTTATATCTTTCCATGTGTTCTTTTGGACTTGATATGTCTTGCTTGCAGACGGTGAAAGACGGGACTTAAGTAGCGTGATCTCTTAAGTGCTCTGATGAGATGGCTCTGGTGTTCGCATGAATTCCCTCATTTTTTTTTCTTTTGGAAAATTATGAAAATAAATAAAAATGTTAATTCATGCAATGTCTACAGGCTGTTCATTGGTAAATGATAAGGAACAGTTATAATAATAGGGGTAGTGGGGAGGTACATGTGCAAAACCTTACTTGACTGCAAACAATCCATTTTTATCCTCTTATGATAAACCTTAATATTGCAGGAGTTGCTGATAGGTGCACAAGAGGCCCGTCACAGAGATGGCAAACCAGAAAGTTGCTTTGACACTTACTTGCTTATGTATATACATATTCATTTTGCATAGTTGCTACATTACATCTCCACTGAAATATTTGTGATTCAATGTAAAATAAATTATAATAAAATATTATATTTATGATAAGCATTATGATACGCATTATGATAGACCTATAGAAAAAAATATTTAAATATTTTTCTTTTCTAAGAATGGCTTAACTTGAAGTGCTATAAAAAAAAATTGGAAAAAAAATATTATTTTAAGGTACTTTGTGATATGTTGCCATACGGCAACAGCATACAATAGTGGATCTAACTTAGAATAAGTGTAAGCTTACTTATAGTTAATATTTTTCCTCAAAAATGTTGTTTGTGTTGATTCAATTGGTGCTATTATAAGCTTTAACACAGTACTTATAATTGACACCTTATACATACTTTCCAACAACTTGTGCTTTTATTTATTCCATTCTTTTTTGCTGAATGATTTATAATTTTCAATTATAAATCATTGATCCCCCCCCCCTCCATCCCTCCATCCCCTTCTCTTCATTCTTTATGACAAACAAGATAATGTGAATTACAGAATGTACAACATTTTTAAAATGTATCAGTTGCGGTGTACAGCGTTTATTATGAGGGGGTAGAATCCACAGCTCAGTACTCACCACTCAATACTCATGAGTACTCTCTTACTCAAGTAGTTTTTTGGACAAGTACTTTTACTCTACTCACACTACATTTTTTGGAAGGTAATGGTACTTTTACTTGAGTATATTTCTTTCCACCACTGGTTAATAGTGAGAATTAGTCCCCAAACTAAAAGTGTGACCTTTTTGTTGAATCTTTTGGTGTTTTAACCAGTTACAACTAGTTAAACATGAGCTCATATTTAACTTTATCTAACTGTTTACATGAATTAACTTGAATGCATCATGTGGTCTTTTCTTTACCGCTTCTGTTTTTACGGGGGTTTTATTAATAAAATGCATATTATTATTATTATTATTTATTAGCCGCAGTATTATTTATGTTTTTAACAGTGCAACAATGATTTTAATGATGAAAATATAGAGTCATCATGGTTTGCAGTGGTAGCAGCTACTGTAGGTATGTGGCTGCATTCTTGTGTTTATCTTTTCATCTATACAGACTCTGCTTTATCAGACCTGAGCTGAAGAAGGCAGAGAACGAGAGGGATGTGCTCCACACCCTTGAAAGTGCTTTGATGTTAGAATCAGTGCACACATAGCTCTTCCTGTTCCAGACTGACACCTCTGACACTAGGGAACTTCAACAGGAGGGAACACCCTATCCTGTATCAGCCAGAAGCTGTCTGTGATTAAGAGAAGCGCATATCCGTTCGAAGATGATTACTGCCTTATTCACTCCAGATCTCCATCTCCAGGAAATCCCCTGACCATTCAGCCTCTACAACACCAACAGTACTTCACACTGTCACAGAAGAACACCTGGACTCTCCATTCATACATGATACAAATTTGCACCACACTATATTTCTTACACTTTGTAAATAAAAGATTTTTGGTGGTGCACTGTCCTTGACCTCATTCTCTGCTTCAAAAGCAGTGTCTTTCATCGGTATGACTTTAAATTACCATTCAGGCTTAAAGTAATGCATTTATGTGGTAAAACCTACCATATCTGTGAGGTAGGTTGAGAAAAAAAAATGGCCTCAAGAAATAAAATGTTGACTTTTTATTGCTGCATAAGCAACTATCAAACCCTTAATATTTAAAAATGCAGTAGCTCACACTCATACATTATATATATATATATATACACTGAACAAAATTATAAACGCGACACTTTTGTTTTTGCCCCCATTTTTGTTTCTCTCACGATTGTTTTCACAGAAAGCCTTATGGTTTAAGCCTTAAGTCATATGAAGTATCTGGAGAGTCATATAGACTTTTATTTTACTTTAGTGCTTTTGTGTCTTTCTGAAGCTTAAAATTCTCCATTCATTGTAATCGCATAAAAAATTACACTCAACATTTTTTCTTTTTAATCCTTTGTGTTTCACTGAGAGCTGAGTAAATGATAACAGAATTTTCATTGTTTGGGGTGAACTATATTCTTTAAATGGGATTAATTTTCAAACGTGAACTTGAGCTTGAGTGTTGATTTATAAGACACAGACAGCAATTCAGGCAAAATACCATGAATGGACCTGCTGGCTAATGTTGATATAAAAATGCCTATGCAACCACTCTCTCCAGTCATTTTCCACTTATCAGACATTTGAAGGACCTGGGCTTGATGCAAATGATTTTGTAGTGAGGTCAATTTACTTCATTTCCACGAAGAAACTACAGAGAAATGTCAGAGAAGCCCAGTGGTGGACAGTAACGGAGTAGCTTTACTTCGTTACTGTACTTAAGTACATTTTTCAAGTATCTTTATTTTACTGGAGTAGTTTTATTTTGAGTAACTTTTACTTTTACTTCACTACATTCCAAAGCATAAGATCGTACTTTTTACTTCACTACATTTCATAAAACATATCGTTACTTCTTATAATATATCACGTGCTCCGACACGCAGAACGAACTGATTCTTTTCAATTAACCCTTTAAATCGGTTCGCAAATCGCACCAAACGATTCATTCACGAATTAGAATGATCTGATTGCAGCTGTTCTCGAGTCGACAACTCACTGATTCAAATGAACCGTTTAGTGCGAGTCTCCAGTGAACTGAATTCACAAGTAAGAACCAGGAGATATTGTGAGCGCGCGCCTGATGCTGTTAAAAGTAAGTTACTAATGTTGAATTTTAGGATTAATTATTGTTTACTCAAGTACTTGATTTGTGTACTTCGTCCACCACTGGAGAAGCCAAACCTCATACACTTTTTAATATACTACTGTTCAAAATTTTGAGGACAGTAAAACTTAAAACAATTTTTTTAAAGTCTTTTATGCTCATGGATGCATGTATTTGATCTAAAATGCAGTAAAAACAGTAATATAGCGAAACATGATTACAATTTCAAATAACTTTCTCCTATTTGAATATCTTTTCAAATGTCATTTATTGATGGGAAAGCTGTTTTCAGCATCATTACTCCAGTCTTCAGTGTCACATGATCCTTCAGAAATCATTTTAATATGCTGATTTGCTGCTCAAGAAACATTTCTTATTATCAATGTTGAAAAATCACACTTCACTATGAATCAAACCTTTTTTTTAACAAATCCAAGGCCTCAGTAAAATCTAAAAATGAGAATTATTGCAATATCATGGATCACATCAATGTGAGCAATTCATAAATAACAGCACTAAACACGCTACAGTAAAATGCCAAATCACAGTATTCATGATCCTCAGCGTTCTCCTGCCCTACTCTTAACTGTCCTGCTGGTGGCAGCAGACACATTTACACCGTGTGACCTGACCTGCCTTGCCACTGTTAGCGAAGTGAAATGTAGGACAGGGGGCATTGAGTTTGTTCAGCTGTGCTACTCTGATTTTGAGATTTAAAA